TAGGAATTCGAGACCAGCCTGGCCAACACGGCGAAAACCCATCTCTACTAAAAATATAAAAATTAGCCAGGCATGGTGGCACATGCCTGTAATCCCAGCTACTGGGGAGGCTGAGGCAGGAGAATTGCTTGAACCCGGGAGGTGGAGGTTGCAGTGAGCCAAGATCGTACCATTGCACTCTAGTCTGGATGACAGAGTGAGATTCTGTCTCGAAAAATAAATAATAATAATAATAATAAAAATTCTAGCTGTGGACCATGTGCGCACCTGTTCTTGACATGTTAAAACCATCAATCACATCACATAATTGAAACTGTTTTTGCAGTCAGAGCTGTTGAAGGCTTTTCCTGGATGTCCCGAGCTTCCTTGTCTCTATTTAGTCTTCAAAGACTGGGGTGATCTCAGTTTGTCAGCACCACCCAAAAGGACAGAGCGGGGGTGAGGTGTGTGTGGGAGCTGTGTGGAAAGTGTTCAGTTTCCTTTGATCATGATTGATCTACTGTTTATAAAGATCCGCTGTTGTTTATGGGTGAGTGACAGCCAGAGAGTGATGGACAGATTAGCTATGAAATCAGGAGTAGGAAGGATTCAGGAACAATGCGCTGTTTAGATTATACTAGCTTTTAACAAGTTCTAAACATCAGCTCCCTGTACTCCACGCCCTGCTCTTTATTGATGAGATGGCTCTCAGGATGTTGGACTCTCCAGTGGAGACTTTCCTGGGTCTTTCTCCTTGAATTGTCTGCTGCTACTTTTTATTGGCAATCAGAGTGTGCATATGGGACCTCAGTGAGCTGGCTAAGCTGGCTGGTTGACCCCTCCAAGTTAATGGGAACCCTGTCTTAGCTGGCCGTTCCAACTAGGAGCCGTTTTCTCCTGCTCAGCTACATATCAAATTGCTTCTGTCAAAGGGCAGGCAAGACCAAAAGGAAGGAGAGATGGAGATAAAGAATGAGACCCAGCTCTGCTCCATCCACCCTGGGATGAAATGCCTTTGTTGACTCCTTCGAAATTGCTTCCCAACAGCATTTTATGAAAACGAAGTGTCCCTTTCGAGTTGTTTAAAGGAGATACTGTGGGATTCTCAAATGCCTCTTTAAAAAGAGATTTTAAGGCCGAGGCAGGTGGATCACTTGAGGTCAGGAGTTCAAGACCAGCCTGACCAACGTGGTGAAACCCCGTCTCTACTAAAATACAAAAATTAGCTGGGTGTGGTGGCACATTCCTGTAATCCCAGCTACTGGGGAGGCTGAGACACGAAAATTGCAATGAAACCAGGAGGCGGAGGTTGCAGTGAGCCGAGATCACGCCCCTGCACTCCAGCCTGGGCAACAGAGGGAGACTCCATCTCAAAAAAAAAAAAAAAATTACTTTATTGGTCCTGGAGGCAGGAGGGAAGCCCTCAAAATCCCAAACCGTCTGAATACCCATTTCCGTGTGTGTCCAACATCCCAGAACCATATTGCTGGTAGCCAACCAGATTTTGCGTCGGCTCAGCTGAACTAGAAAGGTTCCATTTAAAACCAAGAAGCAATAGGTTTCCTGGGCTGCAAAGACAGACCTTTGAGGAGGCCACATGGTATGGCTGAAGTTGCATGTTCTGCTACCTTTGAGCTTGCAAACCCTTGGAGATAGATGGTCACGTGAAGGTGCAGAGAAGAAAAGTGGAACAGCTGTGGTCTGTCATCTCCCGAGCCCAACCACCTGGGAATTTGGAAGAGCTATTTAGGACAGGATTTTCATCTGCCAAAAAGTGCTTAAGCTGAAGGCAAACAAAGTAAGCCTTCCACCCAAGCCTTTGCTCTGTGAGTGTCTAGCAGGCTGGGCTGACAGCACAGCTGAGACTAGGCTAGCTTTAATTAATCTTGAGAATGAACCCTGGAGATCAGACTTCTGTTGCTCAAAGAAAGATATAACAACACTCTCCATCACATGCTGGCTGATACTTAAGCAAACAAGATGAGCCAAGGTAGATATCCCAAGCCATGGAAATAAACAAGCAGGACCATGGACAAGGGGAGGGTTTCTTTTCTGTTTAAGAGACTCTTCTGTAGAGGTACGCTCACGGGCAAGGAAGAGAGCAGTCATTCATTTTCTCAGTGGCAGAGTATCACAGCTTCCCCTTAGGGTTCAGCCTTGGATTTGTTTAAGAAGCATGGTCGGGACGGCCAGGGGGAAGAAATGTCTGTTAAGATGCTGTCATTGATGAGACTCAATTTAAGAATTATTTTCAGTGATTTTTCTGTGAAGAAATTACATCTTTTTTTAATGCAAAAATGTTGCTGTTAGCAGTACAAGTGCTTTGTGCTGATGGACTGGTGGGGGTGATTTGTAGGAAGCCATCACACCCTTTTGCCAATTCTTTGTTGTTGTTGCTGAATTGAGGGACAGCTGGCCGGGGCGAGGCATGCTAGGCACGCAGTCTGTGATCTAGCACGGAATTCTCTGGGTAAAAAATTAGTTTATGCACAATGCCCTCCTCCCTATTGTGGCAGCAGTCTAGAAAAAATGACTAACTGGTGGCCTTATTTGGTCTTATTTGGTGGCCCCCAGGCGGGGTGGCTCATGCCTATAATCCCAGCACTTTGGAAGGCTGAGGTGGGTGGATCACTTGAGGTCGGGAGTTCGAGACCAGCCTGGCCATCATAGTGAAACCTCATCTGTACTAAAAATACAAAAAAAATTAGCCAGGCGTGATGGCACATGCCTGTAATCCCACTTACTCGGGAGGCTGAGACAGGTGAATCGCTTGAACCCGGGAGGTGGAGGTTGCAGTGAGCCAAGATCATGCCACTGCATTCCAACCTGGGCAAAACAAGCGAAATTCTGTCTCCAAAAAAAAAAGGACTACATATGCCTAGATTTGAGATGAGTTAGTCAAATTATACTTATCACCCTCTGTTTAAAGCTGCTGGAGAATCTCTGTATTGAGGTCTTGCCGAGGCAATATAGGATGTATACTGTGTGTACACATATGTCACACACATACCTCCCAAGTGCATATGTGTATCACATGTGTGCCTCACATGTATGTGCATGAATATACACACGTGAGCATGTCTTTCACATGCATGGTACTTAAGCAAAGAAGATGAGCAGATGTAGACTGAGCCATGGAAATGGGCTGGAGCAGGGCAGTGGACAAAAGGAGGGCATCATACATGTGAAGCATCGCACGTGTGTTCTGTCATACCACCTATATGCATGTACATTACGTGTGTGTTTATGTGTGCATATGCTTGGGAGCATAAACTAGAGTGAAGGTACAAGTTGAGAACTTGAGAGCCTTAGAACACCATCCATGTCTCCTGAGAAGTGGGATGCTGGTTAATGTTAAGAAAGCCACCAAGCCTTAGTTCTCACGCTGCTAATAAAGACATACCTGAGACCGGGTAATTTATAAAGGAAAGAGGTTTAATTAACTCAAAGTTCAGCATGACTGGGGAGGCCTCAGGAAACTTACAATCATGGCAGAAGGGGGAAGCAAACATGTCCTTCTTCACATGACGGCAACAAGGAGAAGTGCAGAGCGAAGGAGGGGGGAAGCCCCTTATAAAACCATCAGATCTCGTGAGAACTCACTCGCTGTCACGAGAACAGCATGGAGGTAATTGCTCCCATGATTCAGTTACCTCCCACTGGGTCCCTCCCACGACACATGGGGATTATGGGAGCTGCAGTTCAAGATGAAATTTGGGTGGGGACACAGCCAAACTATACCAGATATGTTACACGAGAACCATTTAGCTTTCTTGTTAAAAATCATACCCATGAAGAAGATATCAGCGTACTCAGCAGTGTACGTATCCCCTTACGTGGGGACAGGAACCCTCCCAGGACTGATAGCCTAGCCCACTGGGAGGGCAGAAGCAGCATGGCTCTTCCCTGGCTGCACCTGCTGAGTTGACAGGTAGTCCCAGAGAGCTGGTCGTGAATCTTCCTCTCTTGAGACTAGCAGATTTCCTTCAGGGTCCTTGGCAATGTATTCTTTGTAAGAATCTGGGATGACCGTGTCTCCCTCTGTGTCCAGGGCTACAACAGTCTTATTTGGTGGCCCCCAGCAGCCCTTAGGACTGGGTTCATCCTGGGCTTCCCTTTCTGTCTTCAGTGACTCCCACTGCAAAGGGGTCTTCTCTATGGCTTAAGCAACTGGAGGCCCTGTCACTGAGTAATTGGAGTGGACAAGGCTGTGGGGTGTCATTTCAGATTTCGTTGAAGGTGGCTTTGCATCATATTCTTTAACAGGCTTCTCTAAAAGGATAGGACAATTTTATCTCTAACCAGGACATTTCTTTCCTGCTTCCAGGCCTAGCAGGATCAGGAAATGAACTTAGTGTCCCCACTAGACAACAATATCTAAGCAAAGAGGTGTTCTTTCCCTGTGCCGCCCCCCGCAATCCAGCCTGTCCCTTCAATAATGCCAGGAAAGAGAGAGATGATGAAAAATTGGCCGAGCGTGGTGGCTCATGCCTGTAATCCCAGCACTTTTGGGACACTGAGGCGGGCGGATCACCTGAGGTCAAGAGTTTGAGACCTGCCTGGCCAACATGGCAAAACCCCATCTCCACTAAAAATACAAAAATTAGCTGGGCGTGGTGGCGCATGCCTGTAATCCCTGCTACTTGGGAGGCTGAGGCAGGAGAATCACTTGAACCCAGGAGGCGGAGGTTGCAGTGAGCCAAGATCGTGCCACTGCACTCCAGCCTAGGTGAAAAAGCGAAACTCTGTCTCAAAAAAAATAAAAAATTAGAGACTGCCCATGACAATGTTCCCAGAAATTCACATGTTAAAAGCAAAACAAGAACTTAGGTAAAGGTTTACTCTGACAGAATGTTTGATGGGAAATTTGGTGTTTTTGAATTTGGCAAAAACGTGGATGAGACAAGTGATTGATTGTCATGACTTTAAGTTCCACTGCTTGGCTTGCCAGCTATTGGGATTCTTAGAATGATCCACGTTTTAGAAACACTAATCATATCTTCCCAACCATCTATGGAAACTTTTGATACTTCTCTTGCCACCTTTCTTTCTTTCTCCTTTTTTTTTTTTTTTTTAACTGTTTAAGGAGTTTTTATTAAAGCAAGAATTTTACAATCCAAATTACATTTCCCTGCTCAGTTAGCAATTCTGTTACTTAAAACAGAACTGATATTTTGAGCTGTTCTACAGTAAAGAATTACAAAATTAAAGAAAGGAATGCTTTAAATTTTTGTACTTTGCTGAAATTATTTTCCCCAGGGTTTCTAAAACATTAATTTGTTTTTATATTTTACTATTTTTATGGGTTTTTTTTTGTTGTTTTTAAATCAACAGGTAACCTAAGATGAGCATTATGTTTGCTAGACCTTCAGCCACTGTTCTTTAGCAAGGTCAAAGGTCATGTGTGCCTTCCACTGTAACTTTACTGTCTTCATTGAATAGTCACATTCAGAGCTGATCAGAAATATGATACTTTTTTTCTTTCTTTTTTTCTTTTTTTTTTTTTTTTTAAAGAGACAGAGTCTCACCATATTGCCCAGGCTAGTCTCAAAATCCTGGGCTCAAGTGATTCCCCTGCCTCGGCCTCCCAAAGTGCTGGGATCACAGGTGTGAGCCACCGTCCCCAGCCCGGAACATGTATTTTGACAATCCTTTGCTCCCTACCTGTCTCTGTGATCAGCCTGTACACTTTTCCAGCACGGTGCTCCTCATCTGGGGCAGCTAGGACTGCGAGCTTCGGCAAGAAACACTTGTATTCCATTATGGAAAGAAAGTTAAATTTGTGTAAGCAAATAGACTCCAGTTCACTGCCAGGTCTAGAAACCCCATCCACCAGCCTGCATGTTCCTCTCTGCATGCCATTTTATTCTCCAATGTCCCTCTGCCTTCTAGATTGTGCCACGCTATGGTATGAACCCCACTTAAGTTTCTGTTTCTTTTTTTTTCTTGAGATGGAGTCTTGCTCTGTCACCCAGGCTGAAGTGCAGTGGCGCCATCTTGGCTCACTGCAACCTCCACCTCCTGGGTTCAAGCAATTCTCCTGCCTCAGCCTCCTGGGTAGCTGGGATTACAGGTGCATGCCACCACACCCAGCTAATTTTTTTTTTGTATTTTTAGTAGAGACGGGGTTTCATCATGTTGGCCAGGCTGGTCTTGAACTCCTGACCTCAGGTGATCCGCCTGCCTTGGCTTCCTAAAGTGCTGGGATTACAGGCATGAGCATCGTGCCCAACCCTGCTAAAGTTTCATCTACACGTCCAATATTACCCAACTCTGTTACTGACACACAAGCTAACATTCAACATAGGCCGCAATATCATATTATCTTTCCCAATATCTTTTTCACTGAGCCCACTTAGGTTTAATCAGCACTTAACTACCCATGCTAATGGCAGGTAAGTAGCAGCTTGCATAACCCAAGTGATTAGATACTCTGAAATCAATGGAGTGCATTACTTTTTATTCCCTCCCAGCACCCAGCAGATTTGTCTTCATCATTAAATATGGAATGGAGACTGAAATTTTTGAATTAAAATGATGTTAACCTTTAAATTAGCATGTTGCTTCTCTCTTTTAGATAAAAGAAAACCAGAGAGCAAGTTATCTTTGAAACAGATATTTCAGAAAGTAGAGAATAGCCTTCCCTATGGTAGAAACCTAACTGTGTATTTGAATGGAATTATAGCATCAGATTTAAAAGCCTGTCTGTTAGCCTTAGAATGGTCATCCTGCTGATGAAGACCCACAGATGCCTGGGTCTGCATTTCATTTTCAGGTTCCAGGTGGCTGCTTTGGACTCTAGCCTCCCTACAGGTAGTTTCTCTGGTTGCAGAGTCATGAGTACTATAGAATTAGTGTTTTTGTTTTTGTTTTGTTTTTGAGATGAAGTTTCGCTCTTGTTGCTCAGGCTGGAGTGCAATGGCACGATCTCGGCTCACTGCAACCTCCACCTCCCGGGTTCTAGTCAGTCTCCTGCCTCAGCCTCCCGAGTAGCTGGGATTACAGGCGCCCACCACCACACCTGGCTAATTTTTTGTATTTTTAATAGAGACAGGGTTTCACCGTGTTGGCCAGGCTGGTCTTGAACTCTTGATCTCAGGCAATCCACCCACCTCGGCCTCCCAAAGTGCTGGGATTACAGGCATAAGCCATCATGCCTGGCCTGTAGAGTTAGTCTTCTCTGCCTTGAATTTATTTCTACCAATTCTTGGTCCCTTGGAATCATTTCCCTAAAACTCAGCATTTATTCAAGGACCCTGGAACATCTTATGTTATAATAATTGTGAAGTTAGGTCTAAAGCATTTTCTTCCAAATCTTTGTTTTTGTTAAAAAAAAAAAAAAAAAAGTCACACTTTGCTAAACATGGCTGCTAGGAAGCCCTGAGCTGAACTTGCAGTTGACCTTACTTTTGTTAATGGTGTGGGATTTTACTGCGTGCAATTTCTGCAACAACTTTTTCTATAGTCTTGTTTTATAACTGTACCTCTTTTTATTTTTGTATGGATTTATCTATCCAAAATCTTATTGAACACATTTTTCTGAGCCACAGGAAGTACTTTTGGGAATGAGGTGGTGTGAATTACACAGAAAAAGCAGCACATTAAGGACACCCACAGGTGGAGCACTTAGTCACTCCCACTGGCCAACAGCGCTTGCTTAGGGAGCCAGAAGAGGAAAGCTCATTTAAAAATACGGTAAAATCTATGTGTGAGATGCTGAGTGATGCTCTCAGACAAAAACCAAAGATGATGACATCCTTGCAGACACCCAGGTGTGTATTTCTTCATACTCTGGAAAATGATCAGTCAATGAAATGGACATTGTCCCTTTTCTTATCGCTTGTAAATGTCAGTTTGGGGAACCAAAAAAATGCCACTTTATGGTGTGAAGTGCCTGTCTACAATAGTCCTTGCAGAGCGGCTCAGAGAGTCCGTGGCATTAAAGATGACAGTTACTGTGTATACAGTTAGCAGGGAAGGCGGCACAGCAGTATTTCCAAGTAGTGGAGCCCTACCAACACTCAGACCACACCCCCCGCACGCTGCATATTCATTGGCAGGAAAGGGTGCTTTTGTTTGATGAACAGTGTCCTCTGGTCTTTAGTATGCATTGTGGGTTTTTTTTTTTTTTTTTTTTTTTTTGAGACTGAGTTTTCTCTTGTTGCCCAGGCTCCTGGAGTGCAGTGGCACACTCTCAGCTCACTGCAACCTCCACCTCCCAGGTTCAAGTGATTCTCCTGCCTCAGCCTCCCAAGCAGCTGGGATTACAGCCACATGCCACTTTGCCCAGCTAATTTATGTATTTTTAGTAGAGACGGGGTTTCACCATGTTGGCCAGGCTGGTCTCGAACTCCTGACCTCAGGTGATCCACCCACCTTGGCCTCCCAAAGTGCTGGGATTACAGGTATGAGCCACCGCGCCGGGCCATGCATTGTGGTTTTCTTAATGCCCAGCTTTGTATGACGTCCTCTAGAATCCCCTTTGAGGAGTCGTCGAATTACATTTCCATTTTCTTTCATTAGGCAGCTATCTCTGGCCTGAAAAATAAAAACAATTTTATGGTTTCTCATAAAGGTGTAATTTTGCTTCACTCTTATTCACTTATTTTCACGATGGAGAGAAGAAAATTGTTTCTCCACAGGAATTATAGTCCATCTTTTGCCTTTCATGTTAGTGATTCTCCCCCGTCATGGCTCCCTAAGAAAAACTAAAGCAATCTGAAAAGAAAAAAATGCAATCTTATAACAAAGTTGGCTTTGTCTTGATAAATACAATGATGGATGACCACAACCACGTGAGTCCTTTTGGGCAAATGAAGAATTCTCTGATTATATCTGAGAAGTGGAAACATACGAATTTATGTTCTGGTTCTTCAAATATCTTCTCCCTTTCCCTTCTTACATTGACCTAACTTGCCTGAAATTAATGAAGCAAATCCGCAAGGGCAGAGGCTAGAAGTTTTTGAGGTTTGAAGCTTATAGGAGGGTCCTCTTTAGGAAAAACAATACAAAATATCTTACTTTCACAATTTTTTACAAAAACATAATGACCACGTGAACATACTGCCCAGGTCCCTCCTGGGCCTTGGAAAGGCCCGTGCAAGAGGGACCCTGAAGCTTGGACTTTACTGACTTCATGATAAGTCCATTTCTGCGGACACTGTATTGTGGCAAATGTCCATCTACACTACGCACACTCGAATTAGATACTTGTGTATGTGAACACGGGAACGTAGGTAATGCCTATACAGAGAATAAATAGGAATATACAAGGATAAATATAAAAACACAAGATTACATATTGAGTTTTAAATACACAAACACACAGATACTTTTTTTTTCTATTTTTGTTGTTTCTAAAGATGATAGCCAGGCATGATCCCTCTTCTCCAGACTTTGAATTGCCTAGCTGCATTTCAATGTTCGCTTTAAGGGGGAGGTAATCAATTTAGCACATTATCATTCAATCAGACAAGCTGACTCAAACACTGTTCTCTGAATTGGACTCATGCTGAGCAATCCTCTATTCTAGAAGCCAGGTGTGAGGGGTGGGAGGAAGGAAGCGGGTGCGGGTAGGGAGCCCATTGCCAGTAGACAGAGCATGGCTTGGTTTTTTCCCACCCTACAAGCAGTTCAGATACTGGTTTGGAGGTCTCCATTGAGGAGGGTCCTCTGGGTCTCCGTGGTCTCATTCAGCCGGGATTTGTCCTGCTTACTGTCACTCCGCTCCCCGTCATCTGTGCCGCTCACCTTGACCAAGCAGAGAACGTTCTGGAAGCTCTTCTTGAAGTTGTCAGACAAGAAGGCGTATAGGATAGGGTTGGCACAGCTGTTAGCATAGGTGAGGACCACCACAAAGTCAAACATGCCTTTAAGGGCTGGGGTGGGACTGATGGCCATGGAGACGGAAGAAACGTTGAATATGTAGAAGGGAAGCCAGCAGAAGATGAAGACAGCCACCACGATGGACACCATTCGGGTGACCTTCTTCTCAGACTTCTTCCTCTTGGAGGAGCCCACTCGGATTCCAGAAGACTTCACCTTGATGATAATGAACAGGTAGCAAAGACAAATGATGGTGAGGGGTACCAGGAACCCCAGGATGAAAGTGTAGATGATGAACCCTGTGTACCAAGCCCCAGATTCACCTGGCCAGTTGATGGTGCAGCTGCTTCTCCCCCACTGGTTGCTCCGGAGCCCAGCATATATCATGATGGGCAAGATGACCAGCAGAGAGACTCCCCACACAGCCATGGTGATCATCTTGGCCATCCGGGGTCTCCTCCACTTGGCCGACTTGATAGGGTGGACCACAGCCAGGTATCGGTCAATGCTCATCACTGTCAAGCAGAAGATGCTGGTGAACTGATTGATGCCATCCACAGTCATGACCACCCGGCAGATGGCCTTGCCAAAGGGCCAGTGGACCAGAGCCACCTGCATAGCCAAGAAAGGCAGACCCAACATGAAGAGCTCATCTGCGATGGCCAGGTTGAGGATGTAAATGTTGGTTATGGTCTTCATCTTGGCATAGCGGAGGATGACGTAAATGACAAGTGTGTTGCCACACAACCCAATGATGCAGACCACAAAATAGATGAATGTGAGGACTGCATTGCTCGTCAGGTCATAGTATGGCTCTGTCTGGTTTGAGGTGTTGGTTGACACCACAGAGCCATTCAGGTCAAATGGAATGGATAGCCATGTGTGGCTTCCATTGAGTGGCTTATCCACCATGTCCATGGCTGCTTTTCGGTCTTAGGCTAGGTCCAGTCAGTCCAGAGATCTTATTCTCACCTTAATGGACCCTGGAGGCCAAGGATCCAGTGTGACATCTGGAAGGAAAAAAGGAAGATTGGCCCGTCGGTCACGAGCTGTTTAAACTCTCACCAAATTTACACATTTCTGGTTTTTACCCTCTCAGACATACTCTTACATTGAAAAATGTATTATCTTTCCGCATCAACATTAAGCTCTAGAGTTCCTCATCAGTTTTTGAGTAGTTTTTCCAATACTAGGGAAGGGTTTGAGTTCAACCATCATCTGCTGACGCACATGTTGGGGAGGGCTGTGGCTTCAAAAAGCACATACTTTGACCCCTACGAAGTTGACTGATCTAAATTGCAGAAAGGCAGAGCTTGCAGAAGTTCAGCGCCTGACCTCAGAAGGGTCTGACACTGACATTCCTGGCCTCTTCCCTACCAGGAAGTCTGTGCTGACTTGCTGACCGCCTTGGAGTCTTTCCGTTCTGAAAATGCCATAGTGGAAAAAACCCAGACTCTAGAGGTAGAACAAACCGGGTTCCACTGCTGAGCCCATGTGACCGCATGCCTGGTCCTTAATGGTTCTGACTCTTATTTGTTCACATGGGGGTGTCATGAAGGTTAAATGATGGAATGTATGTGAAAACGCCGAGCATTGCGTTGGGCTTATAATGGGAACCTCGTAAGTGGTGTTTTCCCCCCATGTTTTCCTCTACCATCTCATTATCTCTGATGTATTGAAATCTACCTGCATGGTGAACCAATTTATAGTCTTCAGTATTAAAAATAAAAGTCTGGTTTGCTTTCATTTTTTAAATGTAGGCTTCAGTTTATTTTTTGTTTTTCTTCTATTTTTGTTTTCCAGTACCTAATGCTTGACTTCCTCAAGAGCTCTTTCCCAAAGTCCCTAAGGGGATGCTGCTCCCAAGTGCTGTAACACCCCAGAGAATTTGCCTGCCATTTTCTAATTAAGGACAAAAACGGGAAGCAGGTGTGGGACACAAGCTCTTTCATAGAAGTAAGCAGAAGGCTTCCAGCACTGATAGAATTCATTCACACCCGTGATTCCCTTGATCTCCCCAACTGTCCTAGGTGGTAGGGATAATTACCCCCATTTTAGAGATGTTGAAACTGAGGCTTAGACAGTTTAAGGAGCTCACTCCCATTCTCTTGTACATAATTGGTACAGCTGGGATGTGAACACAGGCCACCTGGCCCCAAGTCTTTTGCACGTCTCAAGGCATCCCCTCTGCTCCTCAGTGGCCTAGAGACTGAACGGCTGATAACTGGGCTTTGGTTTGAAGCAACTGACTCCTGTGTTACTTCCTTGCTGATAAAATAATTGGAACACTATTGGCTTGGCTTAAGATCTAAAACGATAGTTCATCCCATAATTAAATGATTGATATACAGCCATTCCAAAAATATCACGGGGTTGGGGTGGGGAGGAGGCTTTTTTGTGCTGACAGCAGGGATATAGAAATGAACAAACTGACCGGGTGCGCTGGCTCACGCCTGTAATCCCAGCACTTTGGGAGGCTGAGGCAGGTGGATCACGAGGTCAGGAGATTGAGACCATCCTGGCTAACACGGTGAAACCCCGTCTCTACTAAAAAAATGCAAAAAATTAGCCGGCCGTGGTAGCAGGCGCCTGTAGTCCCAGCTACCTGGGGGCGCTGAGGCAGGAGAATGACGTGAACCCGGGAGGCGGAGCTTGCAATGAGCCGAGATGGCGCCGCTGCACTCCAGCCTGGGCGACAGAGCGAGACTCCGTCTCAAAAAAAAAAAAAAAAAAAGAACAAACTTGGCTAGTGCCCTCTAGAAGGTGATAATTTGAAAGGGGAGATAGGAAAGGAAGTCAGCTCATATAGGGTGGGAATTGCATGACAGATAAACGACCGACTTAAGAATGCCTTCCTTTCCTGGGGGACTCAGAGGAGGCTTCCAAAGAGAAATGTTTGAGCTGGGTCTTGGGTGTATGAAGAGTGAGGCAGGACGACAGCAAAGAGGCCCATCTAGGAAGAGGCGAGATGTTCAAAGGGTGGTATGTTCAGCAGAGCGGGAATAATTCACTCGGCTGACACATTTCCCCTGAGCTAGGTGCTTTTCCTGGTGCCTGGGTGTAGATGGAAGATTACTCCTTAATCCCTGGAAAGACTTCAGATGAGTTAAAGGAGACTTGGCCAGCAACAAGTACTTGAGGATCCTTGCTCACCTTTGCCTCTGATCCATTCTGAATTGCCAGGTGCATTGCTGGTTCCTTCTGTGCTCATTTCCCTACCACACAACTGTCTGTGGAGTGAGATCTGGGCTTTGTGGCTGACCATTTTGTGAAGTATTTGGGGGACCTGGAATTTCATGTCTGTATTGGGTAAAAAACCATAGACTGGCAGCAATTAAAACAGAAGCTGTACAGAAACTGTGGTTAGTATCCCTGGATTAACTTGGGTAGTTTCATTATCATTTCTAACCATCTTGTCAGTTGGATTAATTCTACAGAGCCAGAATCCTATTCAAGCTGCCTGCAATTGGAGTGTACCTTATCATGGGGATTTCCAGGGGCCCATCTATATAACATGAATGGTCACACTCCAATGTCCAGGTAACACGGAGTCCCCCTGGGCCGGCAGAGCCCCTGTCTAAGAGCTTTTGGGCCAGGAACGATGATGGTGCAGGGAGTATGAGGGAGGGTTGAGTGTTGCTTTCCAGCCCTAACTTGGTCATTTTAACTGGAGTTTCACTCAACAGGACAGAATTGCTTAATGGTAGCAACAGACAGGGTTCAGAGTCTTGGTGAAGGTGGTGGAGGTGGGAGGCTGGGGAGCCGGTTGAGAGTGGGAAGGCTCCTCTAAGCAAGAAATGAACTTAAATCATGGGGAGATTTATTTAACAAAGAAGCCAGCCGCTTAAGGTCTTCCAGAGATTTCTGTTTCCTTTTTGTTTCAGAGAAAGAATACAATGCCAGGCAGCCAATTCTTGTTGAATTGTGGTTAAATTAAATGTACAAGGAAGTTTGGTTTTCTGCATTCTTTGTTTTTCCAGCCCAATAATTGTTAGATGCTGGAAATGGCTAGTGGTTGGTTTCCTCTGAACCAAGTCCAGGCTCTGTGGAGAGGAGGGTAAGAATGGTCTCACGCACCTGCACCCCCGCCTCCCTTTTACGTAGGGGCTGTGGTTACCAGCCCAAAAAATGAGTGTTGGGATGGCGACTGGACATCAGGGGAGGTCCTAAATCCTGCTCAGCTTCAGTTTCTCCTCTCCCCATCATCTTTCCGCATTCATCCCACCCCCGCCTCCCTTGGGGCCTTCAGAACCCGGCTTGGCCTCTGCGCCGCTGGAGCGAGAGCCCCCACTAGCAGGGTGATAAAAACCCCTGTGGGCCACCGCGGCGCGTGAGCGCCTGGGAAAAGCCGGGGCGGTGCTGGCCTACGGGGTTGAGAAACGGAGGTGCGAGTGTCAGGACCGCGGAGCCGATGCTCCCGGCTGGCACAGAAAGTCCTCCTGGCCATCCAACTCGCTGATCCTCAGAGCAAGGGTTTCCCAAAGAACTCCGTGCCATTTCCAGGAAGACGAGGGAAGAGTGAAGACTGTAGCGCCAGCAGAGCAGGGGTGCCTGGGGTGGGGTGGGGCGCTGAGGACAGAGACATCGGGGTGCAGAAGACAGTCGCTTGGGGACTTGGCCAGCGGCTTTCGGGCACGGGCTATGCAGTGGTTTGGTCTCTCCAAACCTAGATAAACCGTCCTTTCTGTCCCAAGGTGGGGGACGGGGACCGATCCTAGATCGTTTAGCGTCTATCTCCCCGGCTGGGCGAGGAAAAGACAGGAGAGAAGCCTCCCTTTCTCCGCTCTGCGCCCGCCGCCTGCCTCTGGCAGGCTCGGATCTCCGGGTGCGCTCCCCCAGGATCCCCAGCTAACACCTCACGGCCTCGCTCCTCTCGCGCCGGGTCTCTTTTGCAGGGCGCTGGGAGAGAAGTTATCATCCGTCGCAGCTACCACCTGAAATCTCGGGCTAAAGGGCACACGCCACGCACACGGGCATGAGGCTGTGAGGACACGTCGGTTCCAGCACACTCTACCCACAGCCCCCTTACTCAGGCAGGGGTACCCGCTGTCGTTCGTTCCTACTACAATCACCCCAAAAAGCACAAGAGCGGAGAATCACGTCCCGGGACCTACACTCAGGCACTCGGATGGGCACACCACCATCAGCGCAGATGCACACAGGTGCCCAAGTGCGCTTCTCGCTCCCTCCATCTCTATCTCACTCACGCACGCACACACACACACCACACTCCTCACCTTTGCTCTTCCGCTGCAATCCGCTAACTCCGGTCTCCCACACCCAGCGGTTGTCCCCGAGCCAGCTGGGCGCCGCGGCGCGCAGCAGCTTGGCTAGCGCCCGGCGCCGAACGTTTGGTGTTTCTGGCTCCTCGACCCTCTTGTGCCGGCTCCCACTAGCCCCTCGCCCGTAGAGAGCTCGCCTCGCCCGCAAACCCCCTGGTGCCAAGCCTCAGACTGGGGCTCTGGGCGCGGGTGGTCTTGCGAGCGCGCGCGCATGGGTGGCTGCGCCGCTTGGACTGGCCCAGCCAGCCCGGGCCCCTCGGCACATTTCCCCACGCCCCCCTCCCGCTACGTCACAGCGGCTTCGCTCCGCCCTCCCCCAACCCCTCCTCCCGGGTCCTGTAGGAGGACAAGGATGAGACCGACTGAAACGCCTGCAGGTGGCTGCGGGCAGAGCTTACAGACAGCCGGGGAGCGGGAAGAGAGGGGACCCGCGTGCAGGGGCGTGAAAGGTTAAGCGTTTTCCTTCTCTTCAAGACTCATGGCAAGGACAAGCAATATTTTCCCTCTGATTTCACAGAATCGATACCCTTCCACCCAGCATATTCTAGGCAGCTGGAGTGGCGGCCGGGGTAACCCAGATTTACACCGGGACCTCTGTGATTTTCTTAGCCAAACAAGTTAGCAAAACTGTGTTTACCGTGGGCCAGCCCCGGGCACAGGGCGCAGGGCGCAGGGCGCAGTGCGCAGGGCCAGGCTAAGGATAGGGAGAAAAAGGGCTCAGGGGACAGCGCTTCTCCATGCAGTTCCCAATGAGCGCAGGGCATGTAAACCCACACCTGGAGTCCAAGATTCAGTCCTAGGAGCCATCAGAGGGTCAGTGGAGGTCGACTGGTCCCTGCGTCCCACAGCTTGGAGGTGCAGCGGCCATACAGGTGGTCCCCTTGCTGTAGCCACGTCAGTCAGCACCTGCTGGTCTAACCCAGCACAGTCCCTCCTACATGCTGTGAGGGAGCAAAGGGGAACAGGCAAGAAGTGGGAGTTACATCACATGGAGTGGCAGCTATTTCTTTTTGACTGTGATGATTCAGCCTCTTTTCCAATAGTTTAATAAGTCATAATCAATCCTGCAGCCTCCCGTTCCTCACCCTCCTCCAAGTACATACGTACACACACGCACACACACACCATCCTCAGTACAGTTTTAGAGGATGTGAAAACGGAAAGCAAACCCCAACTAGCTTTCTGTGTGAGCTGAACTGCCTATTATTTGATTTAGAATTCACCAGAGAAAAGTAAAAGTCCAGAAGCTGTGTGGCAGGTGCGGTGAGCCCTAGAGATAGATGAGTGACATGGGAAAGGAACCACCAGGTACGGCAGCAGCCAGCTGCTCTCTTCTATCTGGACCAAACCGTATCTTGGGGTACCCACTGTAAGATGGGGATCAGGGGTTTCCATCTCTCTCTGAGAGGCCGGGGAGCGGGAAGAGAGGGGACCCGCATGCGGGGGCGTGACAGGTTAAGTGTTTTCGCTTCATGATAGGGCTTAACTCTTGGCATCCTGGAGCTCAGACAAGATGGAAATTGAGCTGCAATTGCCTTAAAGTTCCAGGAGTCAGTCCGGGATCCAGCATCTCTTTTAGACATGTGCACGCAATTGGAAGGGCTGGGGTGGGTAGCTCACAAGAAGAATCTGCTCGCCATTAGTGAGAAGAGGGAGAGGCAGAGAGGTAATAATAATATCAGGAGGGCATCGTGGAATTGCACTCAGAGGAACTCGGCATCCTCTGGCCACACAGTTGCTGCAATGCCTGTTGCCACCTCCAGTTTAAAACCAGTAACCTGACTGGTTTCCAGGAAAAGAAGGAAGAGCCAGGAAGTGTCCACTCTGCCCTCAAATTCCTTCCCTTTGTACCATGTTATCTTTTAAAAGTTCTCAAACGGTTAATAGCAAATTTATGTTTCATTAAAAAAATAATAACTGGAGGCAGCAGAGTCTGAGATGATGCTGCTGTTCTACCCTGGCTGCAGGGACAGGCTGATCGTGGAGGAGGGACAGCGCTGCCACCACTTCGCCTGCAACACGTGGCCCTGTGTGCACAACATCACCCACAAGGTAACAAATTGGAAGTACTCAAAGTTGAAGGAAGTGGATGATGGACCTGGGAGAGCAGCTGCCTGGGAGGATGTTGACTCTACTACAGAGTCATGTCCTAAACGAGAACCTCCTTGTGCTTCCTGCATGTAGCTTCAGACCCGCTCTGCAGATGAACCAAAGACCACCTTCTACCAGTGTTGCAGGTCTCAGAGTGGACACCACTGCAGGGATTAGGGCAAGGACAGCCCAGCTGCCTGAGTGTCTGCTTACCTCAGGGTAGATGGTCAGCTGGGGGTATGAATCGTGTGTCCTGAGGGTCTTTGCTGGTGTGGTGGAAAGCTAACCCTTTTGAGGTGAAGAGTCAGGGTGTCAGGAAATGTGGCCTATCTGCCAGTCACAGCGGATGAAATCATTGATGTCCAGGGAGTGTTTCTGTGTAGTAGGGAGGACACCCATAACTAAGTGTGCTCTGTTTGAAGTTTCTCCCCTCCCTCCCTCCCTCCCTTCCTTCTTTCCTTCCTTCCTCTTTCTTTCTTTCTTTCCTTCCTTCCTTCCTCCTTCCTTCCTTCCTTCCTTTCTCTTTCTTTCTTTTCTTTCTTTCTTTCTTTCTTTCTTTCTTTCTTTCTTTCTTTCTTTCTTTCTTTCTTTCTTTTTCTTTCTTTTTCTCTCTTTCTCCTTCCTTCGTTCCTTTCTTTTCTTTCTTTTCTCTCTCTCTCTTTCTTTTTCTTTCTTTTTTTTTTTGAGACGGAGTCTTGCTCTGTAGCCCGGGCTGGACTGCAGTGGCCGGATCTCAGCTCACTGCAAGCTCCGCCTCCCGGGTTTACGCCATTCTCCTGCCTCAGCCTCCGGAGTAGCTGGGACTACAGGCGCCTGCCACCTCGCCCGGCTAGTTTTTTGTATTTTTAGTAGAGACGGGGTTTCACCGTGTTAGCCAGGATGGTCTCGATCTCCTGACCTCGTGATCCGCCCGTCTCGGCCTCCCAAAGTGCTGGGATTACAGGCTTGAGCCACCGCGCCCGGCCTTCTCTCTCTTTCTTTCCCCTTCCTTCCTTCCTTCCTTCTTTCCTTCCTTCCTTCTTTTTCTTTTTTTTTTTTTTTTTGGATGGAGTCTTGCTCTGCCACCCAGGCTGGAGTGCAGTGGCACGATCTCGGCTCACTGCAAGCTCTGCCTCCCGGGTTCACGCCATTCTCCTGCCTCAGCCTCCCGAGTAGCTGGGGCTACAGGCACCCGCCATCACACCTGGCTAATTTTTTGTAGTTTTAGTAGAGATGGGGTTTCAATGTGTTAGCCAGGATGGCCTCGATCTCCTGACCTCATGATTTGCCCGCCTCTGCCTCCCAAAGTGCTGGGATTACAGGCGTGAGCCACCATGCCAGACCTCTTTTTTTTTTTTTGAGATGGAGTTTTGCTCTTGTTGCCCAGGCTGGAGTGTAGAAGCGTGATCTCGGCCCACTGCAGCCTCCGCCTCCCGGGTTCAAGCGATTCTCCTGCCTCAGCTTCCCAAGTAGCTGGGATTACAGGTGCCCACCATCACGCCTGGTTAATTTTTTATATTTTTAGTAGAAACAGAGTTTTGCCATGCTGGCCAGGCTGGTCTCAAACTCCTGACCTCAGGTGATCTGCCCGCCTCAGCCTCCCAAAGTGCTGGGATTACAGGTGTAAGCCGCTGTGCCTAGCCCTGTTCTTTCATCTTTTACATTTATTGGCCGTTGACATTGCCTTACCCCAATCAACACTCAAGTATTTGTACTGTTTGCACAACTTAGTACATTAAATATTACTAAATATTTAACTGTTAATTGTAAATTTGTTTATTACTTACTTTATTCAAATTTTATTCTGAATATTTCATTAAAATGGAAGGTCTAAAAAAACAATAATAATAACTGGCTGTAATCCCAGCACTTTGGGAGGCCAAGGTGGGCACCATGCCTGGCTAGTTTTTATAGGAGTTTGAGACAGGCCTGGGCAGCATGGCAAAACCCAGTCTCTACAAAAACAAAAAATTAAAAAATTAACTGGTCATGGTGGTGTGTGCCTGTAGTCCCAGCTATTCAGGAGGCTGAGGTAGGAGGATCACTTGAGCCCAGAGAGGTGGAGGCTGCAGCGAGCCGTGATCAGGCCACTCACTCCAACCTGGGTGACAGAGTGAAACTCTGTCTCAACAAAACAAAACAAAATGAAAAAACACTGTTTTCTTACCCATGCAAGAAATGAAACACTGGCTCTCAACATGCCCCCGACTCAAAGGCGACTTTGATGAAGCAATGCACTTTTTTTTTGTTTTTAATTTTAATATGAGTACTGCTAGCAAAAACAGACGGCTTCTGGAGGTTCAACCAAATAACCATCACCCTTCTAGGCAACTTGGGTGAGTTGTTGGTGGCTCTCTGTATGCTCTTATTTATTTATTTATTTAGAGACAGGTTCTCACTCTGTTGCCCAGGCTGGAGTGCAGTGGCGTGATCTCAGCTCACTGCGCCTCCACCTCCCAGGATCAAGCGATTCTCGTGCCTTAGTGTCCCAAGTAGCTGGGATTACAGGTGTGCGCCACCATGCCCTGCTAAGTTTTGTATTTTTAGCAGAGACTGGGTTTCACCATGTTGCCCAGGCTGGTCTCAAACTCCTGACCTCAAGTGATTCACCCGCCTCGGGCTCCCAAAGTGCTGGGATTACAGGTGTGAGCCACCACGCCTGGCCTAATTTTTATATTTTTGAGACAGAGTCTCACTCTGTTGTCCAAGCTGAAGTGCAGTGGCGTGATGTTGGCTCACAGCAATCGCTGCCTCCCAAGCTCAAGTGATTCTGCTGCCTCAGCCTCCCGAGTAGCTGGGACTCCAGGCAGGTGCCACCATGCCCGGCTAATTTTTGTAATTTTAGTAAAGATGGGGTTTCACCATATTGGCCAGGCTGGTCTTGAACTCCTGACTTCAGGTAATCACCCACCTCGGCCTCCTGAATAGGCTGAATAATCCCAAAGTGCTGGGATTACAGGTGTGAGCCACCACCTGTAGCCCTTTATGCTCTTTAATGTGGATGACCAAATAAAGCAACATCCACCTCCATGTACTTTCCTTGTCAAGCCTTCCTCTCCTTATCAGATAGGGCAGGCCCAGCCTGGAGAAAGCACTGATGCACCCACGTTAGGCGCACCTGTCTTACTGCAGCTGACTGAGTGGACTCTGAACAACATTGACCTTGACAGCAGAAATGTGTCATCTCGGATGATTGTT